CACTCCCAGAGTTTAGACTTCGAGGTCAACTTTGTGAAGAACACGTGCATTCACATTTCTGCACCATTTACTGGCTGTGCCTACACATCATGAGGGTAGCAGTGTATTAATGGGGAAAATCCCGGGCAATATTGTTTTAACAAGTTACCCAAATATTTTATTTGGGTTTGTGAATTTAAATTCCCTCTGAAGAGCTGGACAGACTCCTTTCGGTTTTGTGATTGCTACTGCAGAAGAAGCCAAATGGCATAGCAATTTCCAAGCCTCCATTTGCCAGGATGGAATGCAGTCTGAGGGGCTGGAACTCAGTCCCAGGAGCCTGTGAGGCACGTGTGTACCCCCACAACACAACCATCTTCTCAAAGCCTCTGTCAGTGAGGGTTTAAGAGGAATTCACTCTGGAGTCGAAGCCCGACAGTAGCAGAAGTCGTGTTTAATCAGGTTTGTTTGAAACCAAAGAGTTCCTTGTCGTCTAAATAGCCTCCTTACAAATGCTTGTCTCTTCAGGGGCCCCATTAATGCTTCCTTCATGGAAAAAACACCCATTGAAACGTGCTGGCTGTTAGCCTGCTAAAAACTGGCCCTCGGCTGGAGCTGACCATCTACTTTATGGCTGCCCATCCTCAGAGTCACGTTCTTCCAAGGTGAGGCCCCAAACAGCAGCAAAAGAGGCTGCAAATCTACTTGGCTCTCTCTGCCCAGACGTCTTGGGTAGAGTAGGGAAATGCTATCTCTCTTATGTCTGCCTTGGAAAGCTGGGTTTTTTTTTTTTTTTTGGTTTTTCGAGACAGGGTTTCTCTGTATTGTTTTGGAGGCTGTCCTGGAACTAGCTTTGTAGACCAGGCTGGCCTCGAACTCACAGAGATCCACCTGCCTCTGCCTCCTGAGTGCTGAGATTAAAGGCGTGCGCCACCACGGCCCTGCCCTGAAAGCTGATACTTTCTTAAATAGGGTTCTATCCAGTCCAGACTCTATCATGCACAGCTTGGCTAGAAATCTCCCTGGGTCTTCTTAGCTGTGGTTCTTGATCTCGCTACTTGTTCCATACCGGGAACTGTTTACAGGGGAGTCCTGACACTTGGACTTGCTCTTGGCTGACTGTGATACTAAACCCTTCTTGGGAGAAGGTGGCTAAGCAAGTCGGTCAACTGTAGCATCGTGAGAAGAGCATATCCAGAATGACAGAGCCTAGCTCTAGATGGGAAGGGCAGAGATGAAGGGCAGAAAGCACTGTAGGGATTTTGTTGTGTTTTGTTTTAAAGCTAGTTCACCTGTTATATCTTACAAAAACAAAGACAAAAACCCAACTGCTACTCTCCAGTCACCTTTGAAGATGGCAACATTACTCTATTACTAGCATCCTCTAGGCCACCATGTGGTACAGTTCACCTAGACCAGGCAAGGTTACTTCTTAGCCTTTCCAACTGTAGCTCCAAGTAGTTACCTTGTTAGAGGAGGAATTAGAATAATCGAAGTTTCAACTATGGCCACAAGATGATTATCTATAAGGACCTGTTTTGTAACAGAGCGTTTTCTGAATTTTCCTGCTAAGTCTTGGTTGAACCTGACAGTGGGCTGTCTGGCTGACAGCAGTGTCACCATGCTCATTTAGGAGGCACTATAGTGAGGTACCCCTGTTCCAACTCAGGTTTATCTAGAGTCTTCCAGGTAGCTGAGTCTGTTGAGGCTGGGTAAGTGGGACTCTTTTCAGGAATTAGCCTGGATACTGGGACTTGAATTCCTGTCATATAGCAGAAAGTGCTCTTAACTGCTGGGCCATCTCTCCAACCTCCTTTTTCCAGTTTTAGGAGCTGGCAGAAGGGTAATACTCTGATAAGTAGACATTTCTAATGAAAGTCATAAATAATGCTTTCACATAAAGTAGAATGATTTGAATTTATTTAGTAAATTCCATTATGTCTTGATTAATTCAGGAAACCTCAATCGAGTTTTGACCCCAGTTTTTATTCAGGAAGTATATGGATAATAGCAGGATTAGAGTCATAAGATAAAGGTTTCACTAAACAATGATATGTAATGTTATAGACATATAGATCTTGATAAGGATTCCCTTCCAAAACAGGTTCTAAGTTAAAAAATACATATATATTAATTAGAATTTTATTTTGCACATGTGTTCGTCTAAAAGTATCTTTAAAATGTCTTCTAAGTTACATAAAAATAGAAAAAACTACCAAGTAAAGTTGAGAGGTACGCAACATAACTTTGGTAAAGAGGGTGAAGGGAAAATACTTTTGATTGCAAAAGAGACGTTGGATGCTAAGAGAAATTGTTCCAAATGCTAGAGGATCAGACTGCTGCACGAAGTGTGTAAGCACCAAACATGGTAAATGGGCAGGATTATAACTGACAAACTGCTTATAATAAAAAGCTATTAAAAATTTCCAGGCCAAGATTCTGTATCTTGAGATAATACTGCTTGATTCTGTTTACAAAAAAAGTTTTTACAAAAATACTGATACTTAGTAATGCTTTAGAATGGCTTAGAAAAGCAAGGGTGTTTTCCTTTTATTAAATGAGACATTTAAAACTTGTGATTAGGTTTTTATACATTTTATGCATGCTTTCCATTAGGCAAAACCTCTGCTTGTTAGATACCCACTGCCTTAACATAAGGGATAATGTTCTAAAGAGAATTTTTCCTACTTGGAACACTCCTACCAAGCTAAATAATGATCACAGAACTAATTTTAATAGCTGAGTATATCAAATATATTAAATAAATATATAGAAAATTAACTAAAGCTTTGGTTTTCTTCTAAGATTTACCCCTTTGGAAAACATCCGCTATCTCCTTACAAGAGAAGTACTTGGCATCCCATAAAAATATAAGATAAGGACCCCTGGCATCCAAAAAATAAATAAGCATATAAGCCATTTCCATTAAAGGAAAACACCCCAGTATAAAGGTCTTTCACATACGATAACTAAAAACTCAGAACTAGTTAGTCCTCCTTGAAGGATAAGGAGAGCCAGATGGCTTCATCAACTAAAAGGAAGACTATTCTGATGGGAGGAACAGTGCTTCCAACCACTCCTGATCTAGGAAGTGGAGGTGAACGTTAGATTCACACTCCCACATCGGACGTGTGCCAGCTTCACTGAGAACACATCACACGGACTCTAAAGATGATGGTGGTAGTCAACTCGACTGACTGCTGACGTTTCTTACGTTGTGTTTCTTAAGTCCTTTTGACATGAGGTATTTTAAAACATGTTTATGATATTTAGTATTTCACTTGGTATAATCCCAAGTGATGATAACGTTAGTCATGAGGCATTGCTTTCCTACAGATCTCACGGCTTTGCTGTGACTGTCAGAAAGCCACTGTCCTAACAGGGAAGCTTCTGTTTGTTAGATGGGTTCTTCTAAATTATGCAATGATGTCAAACTAATCTTAGTGAACACATACTTAAATCTATTTGCAAAATCTGGCTTTTTGTTGCACAATGTTCCTTGTGCCTATGGTTGTCAATCTTCTGGATTGAAGATTAACAATTAAACAGAACTGTAAAAAAAAAATCAACTGTATAAATGACTAAAGCCCTTAGCTCTCTCATCCAAAGACATTCCCATTAGTTCTAATCTAGGATCTATTTGGGAAAAAAAAAATCACTTATCACCTTATAAAGCGATAGGTGGGCAAAGAGCTACCTGAGTTCTCTCTGCTATAAAAAAGCATTGCACACAATTATAGATCATACAAATGAGAACACAATTCAGAATTGGCTAGTCTTTCCACAGTGAGCTCCTGGGAAAAAAGAACCAAAAGAATGAAAGGTAAAACCAGGTGTGGTTATCAATCCATTAGCCTAGATGGAAAGACCCTTCTAGGTGCTTCTATGACCTGTACTAAAACCTTAACAAACAAATGCTGGGATTTATATATCTTCCTTCAAATTTGAGCCAGCTCCTGACGACACACCCATGCAGACTGCAAAAGTCACCTTCAGCTACACCAGCAACTGAGGACACCAGGTAACTGAAACTCAACCCTTTGGCATTTCTTCTAACTCTTACTCATACAGTTCTTAAATTGTTTTATAGTTAATGTTTTAAAATTTGTCTGAGACTTTTAGTGTTTTTGCCACAGTAAATGATTGAAATAATGCCGAGTTGGTTTCATTGAAGCTACAAACAAGATGTTATGTCCTCTCACTCATCATATTCATGACTGCTTGCTACTTAGCTGTGAGACTGCCAGTATGTGTTCACACGAAAGTTTTAGCACATGCAGTATGAAATGAGATGCAGACTCAGTGGATGGTGGCTGAGAATATTACCCAGGCTGTCTTCCTTAATGCCTTCTGCAACTGCTCTCTTCTCCCAAAGACTCAGCCCTATCTTTCCCAGAGCTTAGTAACCAGCCTTCCTAGCACCACAGAACATAAAACAGCACTGGCTTCTACATGTGTACAATGATGCTTGACCAAGCGGGGAACTGCCCGTAAGTTCCCAGAAAGAGAGCCACAGCTATACTGAAGATTCTGCAAGACTGGCTGACCTAACAGGGTACCAACAAACCAAAGCAATGATTTCACCTGTGCACGGCTTGCTGAACCAATGAGCTCATTGGAATTACTCATAGGAACATGAGTTAGTTGCCAACACAGGGATAGTTCATGAAAGGCGTATCAGATAAGTCTCATCTTGAGCTAACTGCCAAATGCTACATCCTCTAGTATCTCCTAAGACCACAAAGAACAGGACTGGCTATGCAGGACACAGAAAAAGATAACAACAGCATATACTCATTAGAGTAAACATTACCGTACTGAGTCAGAACGATGAGTTCTGCAGAATGGGAGGTAAGAGAAACAAAACAGGTAAAGAAAGGAGCAGGGAGGATGGGCCTGTTCACGGGTATAAGAAGAGTAATCTGTTTGATGAGGAAATACACATAGGTGGGGATGTCTGTCTTCTTACAACTGCACGTTGTACAGGGGCTATGTTTTCAGTAAGTGACATATTGAATGGGTAACTTAGTAAGCAGGTTTATTAACATTTCCAGCACTTAAATCAGGTTCCATAAGACACTTGTGTAAAGTAGCATGTGGTACGCTCTATTGCAATATGCTACTGGGTCCTGCCTTTGAGTGTTCCCACAGGGAGGGCATGCCGTTCTCTCTGTCCTGGGTCATGGCAGTTCCCCAGGAAGCATCGGTCTCTTGCTGCTGCTTCACCATTCCCGTTTTCCTACAGCCGATAATCTTCAGGTCTGAAAGACAAAAAACATGTGTATTTCTTCATGAGCCGTTATTTCATTGTCTACTGGCTGAAGAAGAAAGATTTACACCTAAGGAGAGCATGTCTAAAACACATTCAAACCCAAGTATCACAAGAGAGAAGAGACAACTTCAAAGCACTTTAGAATGTGGACCACAGACTCTCTGTGCCTAATATCTATGTACTTAGTAACTGCAAAGTTCAGTTTCTCAGGCTGGTCAGGGGCTCAGTGGGGAGAGGCCTGATGACTTAAGATTGATCCCTGGATCACCAGGGCAAGAGAAAACGGACTCGCACATGTTGGCCTCAGGCCTTGGGATGCAAGTGTGATGTGCTTTTAAAAACAACAAAACAAAACCCCTACAATCGCAAGTTTCTTTTTCTCAAGTAGAACAGACTTCTTTTTATGGTTCCAAGCGGCTGATCTGTTCACACCTACAGGAACAGCTGCTTAGAAGGCCCCATGTGAGAAAGCGCAACACCGCAAATCCCCAGATCGACGGTTCACACCGGTGACGGCTTGGTTGAAATGGGAAGGGAACATGGGAGAGCGCCCTCTTCCCTAACTCAGCTAACAGCTCCTGACTGTGACAACAGCAGATTAACTAGAGTCTTGTGGGAAAACGCCACATGACCAGGTTAGCAGCACAGTCACAGAAAACCCTGAAGCTCTCAACCCAGACCCCCATTCCTTACAGGATTAAGTAAATCTTTCTTCACTGTCTTCAAGTTTATGAGCTAACATACGCTTTATAAGGACACGGGTAAAACTCCTGTCTTAACAGTACTTACAGTAAAACTGGTAATACGCACTTTATTAGGAGGAATGGCTTTCAGGTCAGAGATTATACACTAAGCTTAAGCCTTGCTCCCTTCAGTAGCTGCTGCTTGAATAGGGAGGGTGCTCCTTTGGGTGTTTCCCGGGCCACTGTTCCCAGCACCTGGAACCCTACTTTGCTTCTAAAGCATCATTGGATTACTCATTAAACACTCTAAACTCAATCCAACTCCGTGGGATGACAATTCCAAGACCACTCATGGTTGCCCTCATTACCCACCCCCTCCACGTCTCAGCAGGTGTGTTTCTAATAGCATACTCAGCAGCATGGGGAATATGGGGTTTTCACTGTCAATCTGCATGCACCACTGACTGCTGGAGGACGTCTGTACCCTGGGTGAAGATGTGTCACTATGACTGGTATAATAAAGAGCTGAGTGGCCAATAGCTAGGCAGGAGGCAGCACAGCGGGGACTTCTGGGCAGAGAGGGAGAGAATGATGGGAAGGAGAAGGTGGGAGCTGGCTGCCAGAGGGGGAGAGGAAACAGGAGGTGCAAGATGAAAGAAAGGTAAAAAGCCATACATTAATATAAATGGGTAATTTAAGTTACAACAACTGATGGGACAAGCCTAAGCTAAGGCAGAGCTTTCATAATTAATACTAAGTCTCTGTGTCATTATTTGGGAGCTGGCTGGCAGGACAGAGTAAGACTTGTTACAAAAGATGCTCAAACCTTCCACTCAGTTATTCTATAAAGGTGAATTCAGTTTAATATAAAGCATCATTAACAAGTGAAGGGTTAAAATGCAAGGCAGTTCAAGATGAAAGCATCCACCAATGTAGTTTTCCAAATACTAGTTCTCCTACAGAACTATGAAAAAACTCAAAATGAAAGAAATCTAAAATGAGCCAATAAAAAATTTCCATTTCAGCAAGAGCACCAGAGTATATAATTACTGGAGCTGTGTAGCATACTGGCAAAACTACAAAAATTATGGAAATAATTACTGATGGTATTAAAACAATTGTTCACTTCAAAGCTACAATTTCAGACAACTGAAGTATAAAGAAAGAATAGTCTTGTTATTTTGTAATTTCTTCTCATAAATAAGGAGAAATTCTAAGTGTATACCCCACAATCACACTTTTACATTCAGGCATATACCTAACTTGTATTATCTAGAGCATGAAATATAACTTTATAGCATCTCCCCGCCCAAATTTTGTATTCTTTAGGTATAAAAGACACTAATATGACAGATATATCCATTAATGAAAGAAGTGAGATGAATAGCCAATATTACCAATACGGAAAAATGGCTTTACTTAAAAAAAAGTGATGATTTTTGTTATCAATAGATTTCATCTCTGATCTGCTACCATTATTTTATAAAATGACTAATCTGCTGGGCGATGGTGGTGCACGCCTTTAAGCCTAGCACTTGGGAGGCAGAGGCAGGTGGATCTCTGAGTTCAAGGACAGCCTGGTCTACAGAGTGAGTTACAGGACAGTCTCCAAAGCTACACAGAGAAACCCTGTTTTGAAAAAAAAAAAAAAAACCCAAAAAGACGAATCAGTAATGAGGAAACAATGCTAACATATGCCGAGAGTAGGCCTGAGAGTACACAAGCACTGTAATCAGTAATAAATGTAATCAGTGGTTCTTCCTTCCTATTGCTGCGCCCTTTAATACAGTTCCTCATGTGGTGACCCCAACCATCAAATTATTTTTGATGCTACTTCGTAACTACAATTTTGCTACTGTTATTAATAGTAATGCAAACATCTGTTTTTCGATGGTCTTAGAGGATCTTTGTGGTTATTTGGCCTCCAAAGGGGACATGTCCCACGGATTGAGAATCACTGATTTAAATGAAATCCCAACAATAATAGTTTTTAGTTAAGATGAAATCAAACTTATTAATCACCTACAGGCTTAATGTTTAGGTTGACAATTACCTGTTGCTTAAAAGTTTTAGCCTCCAAGAGAAAAGTTTATAAATTTCCCTATTACCAATGTCAATAAAAATCCCCATACAGGTTTTATTGCCAGTGACACTGACTGACACACACACACACACACACACACACACACACACACACACACACACACAAAGCCACTTCCTAGTGTATTCATTCCTGGGTGGTCCAGGGACACCTGCGTCAATCATGTCTGCAGATTCACCGTCAGTTCAACCCCACATCGTTTCTAATGATTATATTCCAAAGTAAGACCATATTCTTGGTTCAGCTATTTTTGGTGGAATAAAAGCTTATTTTAAGTAAGTTCTTCTTCCAAAAGTAAAGATTTTCATAAAGGCGAACATTCAAAAAATAAGAAATTCTACTTTCAGTGCGTAGAACTGAATGGTATTTGAGATAAGCTTATTAAAATTACATCAAATTCAAGTCTATTTCTCGCCACACAGTAACAGTGGCGCAGGGTTCAGTCCCGCAGCTGGCCAGACTGGCTATCTATGAAGCTGTTCCTGGTCACATGTGTTTTATGCACTAAAAACTACCTGAACCCGATGGCAGATCTAATATGCAGAGAAAATAACATTTTGAATGATTTATGTTAAATGAATAATACACTTATACATGATAAAGTTTCAGTAAATGCATATCCATTTACTATTTTGGCAATAGAAGTTACCATGTGTTGCATAACTACTTAGGAGAAAAGACCACAACTTTAATGAGCTATAAAGCAAAGCCTAACGTCTAATGCATATTCCTGCCACAGGGGAGTATGGAGAGACAGGGCAGGAAAATTCATCTCCATGTAGTAACTCAAAACTAAACCCAGCGGCTCTGGCTTCCACTGAGAATCTCCTCACACATAATCAGAGAAAAGCCCTTTCTAAGTCTATTTACTTAGTGGAGACTCAGTTACAGTAAGCAGTGTGACCAGTACTGTTTGATATAACAATATTAAATACTTAGTTTTGAATGTTAATATATTGCCACACTGCTTTTGTTAAACTCTTTAGAATGTATTATAACTTTAAGTTCATAAGATGTCTTTGGTGACTTATTTGGTTAAACTGCACCTGTGGTAGATAAGGTTAAAAAAATGCTACCACGATTCTCCTGGTCAGGACCATATGCTTATTTCTGACGGTGATTCTATGAGACTATTAGACATGGGAGGTTGTCACAGAAGGCAGCCTGATAGGACTTTATAGGACAGATTATTTACTTTTTTAGAATGTGACTTAACAAAGCTGAGTACCTGGGATTCTTTCTACGCATACACTTTCATATAACAATGCTATAGCACCATGCACGCCGGTACTAGGTAAGCTCAGATGGGGAAATAGGCTTGCTTTAGGGGCATAGACCTAGGTCACATAGAGGCAAATCCAAGTCTAAGCATGGAAGTTGTTCAGGTTAATTTTGAGGGATATCCAGAAACACTCACTGAGCCCTGAGATCATGTGGCAAGTACTACCTCCATGAGTTGGGATTTCTCAGATGCATGGACCGTTTGGTACTTATATCACAGGCAGTCAGCAGTGGCTGACACGCTTACAGTTTGGTACAACATAGATAACATAGACACACAGGGCAAGGGGTCACCCCACCTCTACAGCTGGGAGGATGACCTAGGGCTGGCACCTTCTGCTCAACCCAGAGTCCACCACTTATGATTATGTGATTTTAGGGCCTAATCCACACCTTTCTCTGCCTTTATTTTCCAGTTTATAGAAAATGGGGATCAAACTATACTAACTTATTAGTTTGCTCAGAGGATAAGTAGCTGTAATTATATGTAAAGTACTGTAAGTTCTTTCTTGCTATTTTTACTATTATTAATTTACAGAGATGAATAATAAAAGATATAAATTAAATTATTCTGGGTAATGATAAATATTTATAAAAACTGAAAAATGATTGTTTCATTTTTTCCTAAATATCTTTTCTTTAGAACTTCACTTATAAAAGCTGATGATGAAAATTGTGCATCTTAATTAATTCACTTGGTAAGAATCTGCTGAGTGCTGACGTAGTGTGCCAGGCACTAAGCAGGAGCAGGATGCAGTCTTCTTGTGAAATCAGTTGTGCACAAGACACTAACCAGATAAGCACACACTTATCTCAAGTGCCCCAGGATAAACACGGTAGTGGAAAGGAGAGCCCATGACAACAGCTTACAATGACGAGTCAGCCAGTTAAGGGCTACAGGGGCCACTGCCTGAGAAAGTGGAGATACATGCTTCACGTTTTATTCTTGTTTTCTTCTAGGACCAAAACTAAAATTCCACAATCAAGGGACTTTTCATTAAGAGACATTCTTGTCTTACAAAACAATCTGAAAACCCACACTCACTGCTTTAGGCTAACGACAGTGGATTTGTCACTAAAAGAGACAGTCGCTCCAAATAAGGTCACCTAGCATGGAGTTTACATAGCTGCTGAGTTTCAGAGGGCATAAGAAACTGTTTACTCCTCTGCTTGAAACACAAAAGAGTGGAAAGACACAAGAAAGCACACTTACGGAGTCCACACTCTTGGGAAAGCCTCTATTTCTTCTTGGGTGTACTCATCCAGCCGTTTAGGCACTTTCCGTGGCTGAGGAAGCTCTTCCACTAAATTCTTAAGAATATCTTCTGGAATATCCTAGATCAAACATATTCAGTATTTTGAATTCTTAAAATACCCTTCCTATTGATAAACAATAAACAGAATTAAAAACTAGCAAAACGAATGAGAAAAACACCATCATTTTAAAAATTCTTTGTATAAATGCCCGAAAAGTACAATTTTGGAATTGGTTCTTCCATTCTATTCTCCTTCCCTGATTTAGCTCCACAAGACAAGGTTTTACCCAGGTTGGCCACGAAACACTCTAGATAGCCCAGGGTGGCTTTGAACTTGTGATCACCCTTCCTCGGCCTCACAAGTGCTGAGTTACAGATGTGTGCCTCCTTGGCAAACTGGATTTTGAAAAAGTAGTGATTAATTTATTCCCTTCTTGCTTGCTGTAAGGAGGAGCTGTGCTGGTTCATGCTCACATTCCCACCCGAATGAGTGATGTACCAGGTCACTGTATTAAGTACTGATGCTTTCTAAACCTTACTTTTCCTTCTCAGAATTTAGTCTGCTTATGTAGACAGTGGCCTAGCCTGTACAAATCATCATTTAAAACATTCTTGTTAGGTCATGGGCAATGATTAGCAACCAGAGTTATTAACCTGTGATCAATAGAAAGCTTACTATTTATCACATAAATTGAGACAAAGTTATTCTTTCACAGTTGATGAAACTATCACTGAGCACCTCCATTTCATAGGGCACTCATAATAGTTCCCATTAAAAAGAAAGCAGTAGCCAGGCGGGTCTCTGTGAGTTCAAGGCCAGCCTGGTCTACAATGCTACACAGAGAAACCCTGTCCTGAAAAACCAAAAAAGAAAAAAGGAAAAAAAAAAAAAAAAAAAAAAAAGAAGCAGTGTCTTGCATGCAAATAGAACTTGTAGTAGAACTTATAGATATTCTGTTTTTTATTTTAATGATATGTCCCTTCATGGTTTAACATGGGAATAATTGCCACTGTGCATGTGCATTCATACATGTATGCATTGTGTTTACTTTAAAATACGATAGATATGTTGGAAGTGGAGATACAATTACTGAAGATAAACTTATGGCCGTTGTTTGAAGGCAGCAAATAAGGCTTCCCTGAGCCTGAGTTAGAGCACTGTTCTCAGAGCTTCTGACTTACCTCGTCTGGAAAAAGATGCAGCCTCTGCATCATTGTCCTTCTGTGCAGGTTTTTGGGCAGCATGCCGTAAGTAGCTAATTTCACAATCTGAAAAGCAGACACACTGAGGACTTAATAGACGGTGAGACCCAGGATGGGCTGAAAGCAGATACAATTAGAGATGGAGGTGAAAAGGAAAGGCTAAGATTCCTCCATGTGAACACAGTAAAGACCCAGGCACACCAGAAAGGAACTTTTACTTCCTTCCACATCACTGTTTCCTAGAGGTGCTGCCTGCTTACTGCTTATAGAGAAAAAGAGCTAATGGAGGGGACTAGACATAACCCTTGTATGTGCTAATTTTCAACACAAATCATTTTCTAAGTTTACATAAGGGCCGGTGGGACATGAGTCCCGTCTCCTCCAGGAGGACACCAGTGAGGTTTAAACTCATAAACTAACGTAAGTACAGTTATACAGACAGGAAGACACAAGTTAGAGCAACGACCACAGCGAATGCTCACCAACAATTTACCAGTTGTACGGTAGTCAGTGTGTTACATTTTAACAACATATTTATGATGCCCCACCTAGAAGCAGAGACACTGGCTGTGGGTAAAGACTGACCTAATTTCATCTATCAAATGGCTACAGCATTCAAATTAAATGGCATTACTCCCAGGAACAGAAACAGAGTATATGCAATCACACCCAAAATCCACTTCTCTCTATAACTTATTAGGATGACACATGCCTCAGGAGCACACACATACATGCAGGTAAAACACTCATACACAGAAAAATAATTAATAAATAAAATGTTAACAAATTAAGATCTTTCAACGAGGTAAAAATGCAAAGAGGTTTGAGTGAAATATTTTATAAGCCTTCAACATTTTGTAATGTTTCAATTTTTGTTCATCAAAACTAACTAGAACAAAGTAGAAAGACACATGTATAAAAATGCCATAAATAAGCCCATTTGTTGTATGTCCCTTGAAAAATAAAAAATGTTAAAACCAGTTTTTACAAACCTTATCAAGCGTCAATACTAAAAAGTTGAATTATATTGCCTCCTAGTGTACAGTTAACATACCCAGTGAAACAGAAACTAGCTGAAACTTTTCAACTTCTAATTGAAACTGTAATTTGTTGTAACAGTTGTGTGAGAGAGCATCATCCAGCTAGCCTTACTACTTTTCTATACAGGCCCTAACAAGTAAGATGAACACAATACCGTGAGCTGTGATAGTGTAAAACCACACTAGCTATGAAACAGAACATTAACTGTTTCCTAAGAAGTAGTGTCTGAGCATGTATGATACAGATGGTGACATGTGGAACTTCTAAATGGTTGCTAGGTCTGACTATAATAGAGTATCCCTCTCCTACATTTAAATCATCAAGGAAACTCAAAGGAGTATAAACAAATGGTTGCATCATGACAACTTACTCACCCCTCTCCAACTTTTTTATGAAGATAAGAAGGAGTACTTTTGGAGCAACTACAAATCATTTAAGAAAAATGCTAGTAGTCAAAGGAAAAGGGCTGTTTCCTCTATGAGTACAGCTTAAAGGCCAGGTTTACTGACAGTCAAGAAGGAAAAATAAGTTGTAAAACAGCAAAAGGAGACTTTATGTTTTATTAGTACTGGGACAAACATATGGATTAGAACTTTGTTGAATATATCATTCAAATAATACGTCAACAGTGATGTTTACTAATAATAGATATGTATTAATATAGTGATTATATAGTAATAATAATATATATTTAATTAGTAATAGTGTTTATTTACTGTTCATTGATATATCTTGTAGGATTAGGGATACAGGTCACTGGTACAGTGATTGCCTAGTACAAGCTAGACTCTGGGTTTCATTTCTAACAAACACACCTGTTCAATATTTTATTAGCCCTTCCAGTTCAATATTCTTGTTACTTATCCTGACATTTGACTTCTGTTGTATTGTGTTGTGTTTTGCTGGGGTATGTTCTTTTTTTTTCCTTATTTGTTTACAATGCATTGCTGCCCTGCCTCCCTTCTGGGATCTGTTTTCTCACACATGAAGTACTGGGAGGGATAACGGATGTTAGAAGGGACTGGGAAGTTTAAACTATAGAAAAGTAAAGCCCAGGTAAATAAAAATCAAAAGGAGACTGATACAGCTATAATCTAATTAGGAAAACCACGGAGCTCAAGGTAAGAAGCATTCCTGGAGATAAGGAAGGCCAAACACATTGATGCTGATATATTTGTTCTAAGATTATAATCTCAAACTCAGATTCACCTGATACTAAATCTTCAAAATATACAATCCCTCACTGACAGAGCTATATAGACATAAATAAACCCATTAACAAGTAAACCCTCAATCAGACAATAAATCAGGTAAACAAACAGTTGGTAAGTTTAAAATATACTAAACAAGCACATTATATCCCTTTGTCTTTCTCCTAAGGTATTTGCAGCACACTGATCTTATTCTACACAATGGCAGATATGCCCCAAATAAAAAAGTATCTAAATTCTTTGAGTTGATCTAACTAAATGATGGTAATTAGGAAACAGAACTGATCGATAAGGAACATGGCATTAATAAAACTTTGTGTAACATGGTGAAGCAGGTACTGCCCTGAATGGTGTCTTAAATGGTCAGCATCAGTCTTGCCCAGACGACCAATACAAACAGTGAGCTAGCTTACCGCCACTGGGTCCTTCAGGTGAAGCTGTGCAGCTGTTACTTGTCGAAATCCACCCGGGTAGCTGTTAAAAGAGAAACACGTTCTTCAGCTGATCATCCTTTCATAATGCCCAAATGATTCTAAAAATTTTATCTTGCCTCTGGAAACTTAATTAATACGTACATAGCAACGAGCCAGAATAACGTATGTGCCTATCAAGTTGGGCTAACTGCATAGTCTAGGTATGAGAGCCTGGGGAAGTGGTGGCAGGGCACTTGGTCCTGGAGCACGTTCATCCTCCTCTTACCCTGAGACACAGTCTCACGGCTTGGGCTGGAGTCACATTTACCATCCTCCTCTTACACTGAGACACAGTCTCACGGCTTGGGCTGGAGTCACATTTACCATCCTCCTCTTACACTGAGACACGGTCTCACGGCTTGGGCTGGAGTCACATTTACCATCCTCCTCTTACACTGAGACCCGGTCTCACGGCTTGGGCTGGCCTCCCTCCTCACATAGCGGAGGATGATGCTCAATGCGTGATCTTCTATCCTCCAGTGTTTCCAAACACTGGGATTACAGGTGGGTACCAACAATCCGGCCAGTTCATTATACAGGTAACTATCCATTTCTAACAGTCCGTGAAGACCACTAGGAATTATGGGTTGGTTCCAGGCAATAAATTACCTATGTCCCAGTGTTCAGGTCAAGCACTGAACTTAAGTGGACACACTAGGGTTGGCGTAGTATCCAGATCTAGACCTAGAAACCAGCTTCTGTCAGCAGCTCCCAGATAATGCTGAGACACTGGCTTTATGTGTCTAATAAAAACTGTTATTTGCCCCATCTAATTTTACAAAACTCTGAGTCAAAGGAGGAAATAATATTTGTAAAATTATAAGAAACTGACAATACATAGTTATGAGGGCTTATTATCCTATATAAAAGAAAAACATTTAAATGGCTTTTACAAAAAGAAAAAGCAAAAGGGGAAAAAAAGGACAGCCAGTGGATTCTAAGAGAAAAAATTAGGATTATCGAAATTTAAGTTACTTTCAAGTAATTCTGAAAACATTTTAAGATAATTAAGTAAACCATACATTAGGGCTTCAACTTAAACATACTATATGCTTACTGAGAAAGATGGGCCATTTTAAAACTGTTACAACTTATTTGCTTCATGGAATTTCAGTTTTAGAAGAAGAAACACCCGTCTAGACGTCTATTCCTATAGTCTTTCCCTTCATGGAAAATTACTTTGCAATGTCTATGCTAAAGACTATCTTTCTATTTTTAGCACTAGGCTGGCAAATTCCAAAGCATAATAGCATTTATGCTATATTTCACGACTTTGGCCCTTCTCCTGAAGGACCTGGAAAGCTAATTGAGTCCCAAGCAGGGGACGACTTGAGTAATGTGATATGCAATGGATTCTCACAAGTGAAAAGCAGCTACATTTCTTCCCTTACTGGAATGCCCTGAGAAAGTAAGGGAATGTGATTGATATGACAGTCACACGTTTCTCAAACAAATGAACTCAACACATACTCTCTAAGCATCTGTTTGCTGCATATGAGGGTGGCACAGGTACATCAGACAGCATCCTGTCCTAAAGAGAGAGGTGACATGACTTTTGACAGTCATGTCAAAACATTTCAGTGAATTTAGACAGGGTAATTCAACATGAAAAAAAATGAGAAGTCAATACTCATAAATTATTTGTTCAGAAAACCTTATTGAGACAAGAAATCAGAAGAATTTCAATGGAAAAGCCTGACTAAATTATATAAAAATTAAGTGACAGTAAAGAATGCCATAAAGTTCTTAAGAAACAAAAATTTAACAACAGACTTGAATTCTTAATAGATTAAAAGCACATACATAGTGAAAAGGAAGCGGGAGGGGAGGTGCAGCACACTCCTATATGCCCAGCACTTGTAGACACAAACTGGAGGACCAGGAGTTCAAGGCCAGATTCAGCCACATAACAAGCTCAAGACAGGTCTAGACTTCATAAAAGTCTTGTCTCAGAGAAACTAAAACAAATAAATTATGCCCCTCCTCAGAATACCCAAAGGTGATACGAAAGAGCAGAAATCTGCTATTTAAGCAAGTGAAAATGATCAGATGTCCATAACAACTGCAGAACCTTATTACTATTAAGTTGTTTTTAATGTTGTATTATGGCCACAGTCATCAAAAATCAGGTATTTGTCTACAATGGTAAAATGACTCTGGAAAACACCTGTGGTGATATATTGTTTATGATCTAACAAAGCTTGCCTGAAGATCAGAATGCAAACTAGCCACAGCCACAGAGGTCAGGCAGGGTGGTGCACGCCTTTAATCCCAGCTCTAGAGAGGAGTTTCATTCAGACTGCAGTCACGCTGAGGACAGGATCACCCAGTCTTGGTAGCGATAAGATCTCTCTAGGTTGGCTGCTTTGCTTTTCCGATCTTCAGCTTGAACCCCAATATCTGCCTCTGGGTTTTTATTATTTGTACTACATATTGGTACCCAACTTAAAGGTATGAATTCACAAAAAACTACCAGCCTCCTTGTGCACTGTACCCCAGTGCTCCATGCATATACATGCATGCAGATAAAAATGTGCATACGCATAAAATTAAAGATAATAATGGAAGACCAACATTTATAACCATAACTTGGATGACAGTACAGAGGTATGTTTTAATTTTTCTTATCTGAAACTCTGGGTTAATTCAACATACATGGCAAAATCAGGATCTCAAAATAAAGTAGTAGAGATAAAATCTAAAATGGAGCAAAGCTAATCTCTTGCCATTGGATTAACACAACTAAAACATATATAAAAGAAGAGGCATAATTTAACAAGGACATGCGAGAAAAAAAACATGAATTTGGGCTGACAGTAAATGTTACGAACCACAATACTGACATAGCCTCGAAGACAATCTGTTTTACAGTGAAAGATGGTCTAGCACCACAAATACTGACATGGCCTTAAAGAAATCTATTTTACAGTGAAAGGTGGTCTAGCTGGGGAAATGGAGGAAAGAACCCCACTGTCCCTGAAAACGCACAGTGCGCTCGGGAAGTGCATCTACCGAAGACAGATGGTGACAGACAAGACGGGAGCGAGAGAAGAGTGGTTGTGCTTTATCTTCCGTGCGGGTTTCCGTGTTCAGACGGTGCTGCCAATGGTGAGGTGGACTATAGCACAAAGACCCACGTTGTGCTGGGGGCAGTCTGTTTTTGTTCACTAAGCTAAACATGCAGTATTATTAAAATCAGTATTTTCTTACATGTCCATACTCCCCCCTTCCTTTAAAATGAGGGCAACGGTATCATGAAAGCCACACATCTGGGCTGCGTTCCTCAGCAATAGCGTTTTCTTACCCAGTGTGTGAGGAGTACACTTTCTGCTCCCACTTGTTTCCGGAAAATGCAATGTGTCTTGTGTTTATTATGACAACATGATCTCCACAGTCACCTGGATTTCAAAAGAAACAAGGCGGAAAGACTGTATGAATACATCAAAGTCTTAAAAAACACGGCTTGATTACTCAGTTACCAAAGTGCAGGCACCACATTCAAAACTAAAAGGCACAGTACAATATCACAGTCCTTGAGCACATCTGTTTCGTTTGATACACCACATAAGGCCAGAAAGAGCTGGCGGGCCGTTTGGAAACTCACAACCCAGGATGGCAATAGTGACAACACATTCTTTAGAGGCAAACTATTATTTTCCTCTTACTCATCCTGCCGATATCTCTCCTCCATTTAAACATTTCTATACAGTTACCTTTAAGTGGATGCTACAAGGGTTTCTTTACAAATAGCAAAGAAGATGAAAGCAATATGTACATAAAAGTACAAGAGCATTTTACCAATAGGCAAATAAGAAACAAATGTGAGACATTACAATTGATTATTATTCTTTTCAGTTTTAGAGAACAATAGAACACTACGGCTTTATGCTTTAACTACTACCGCAAGGCGTTTTCCAACCACAATTAACTAGTTAAATCGAAAATGGCACTCTCAGCAATGACTGCAAACATATTGTACTGGGCAGATGACCTGAAAACAAAATACATGTATTGTATTAACTTCCTTAGGAAAAAGACCTTAAAGTTTGTGTCTATCTAGAAACAAACAGAAATGCCAATATGCAAGTTTTCACGTGAACCAGTGTTCCTAAAGTCACTAGCTAATCTGAAACATTAAATCACTATTCTATTACTTAGAAACAACAGACCTCAAAAAATTTTAGAACCATATTTTAAAATGTCACTAAAAGTAATAAGTATAAATTATCATATCACTATAAACTCCAAAAATCACATGAAAAGGTTCTAGGCAAAGAATGAATTTGACCACAGAATTTTCAGATAGGTTCATATTTTTGGATCGTGGGTGAAGAAAAGCAGTGTTTTGCACTGCCAGTGTAAAAGGGGTAAGAAGCTAAAGGGAGAAACTGAAAAGCCTGTTGCTGATGGGCTGGAAGAGAAAGTTTGACAGTATCTGCCTAAGTGACAAATGGCGGCCAGGGAACCAGGAGAGCAGTAAGGATGTGGGAAATGTCCCAGAATGCCTCAGCGTGTTGAGAGGACCCCAGTTCCAGACACTTCACCACTACAGCAGCGGGGCTTTCAAGGTTAGGTGATTTGCTGACACTCATACAAGGCTACTGACTCAGGCTAAGCTGTGATACCTATTGAAGAAAAACCGAATATTATAAGACTTTAAATAATTACAGAACATCTAGAGTCACTTAAAAACCTTACAAAAATCAAAAAGACCCTTTTAGAGGGCATTAAAGACCACAAATATGATAAAAACAAGGTCTTTTCCATCTAAAGTATGGATTATTTTTCCATAGTAAGTTATGTCAAATCTCTTTATCTTTAAAACATCTTTCTACTACTTCAAAATAAAACTGATCCACAACTAAATATCTGTGTTTAAGTGAACTACAGATTAACACAAAAGTAACCACTGGTGGAAAAGACTCTATTTAGTCCTGATTATAGCAGGATTGCTTTTGTCAATGAAATACAAATATCTTCACTTACAAATTTTAAAAGCTGTTGCTTTGTGTGAGTGACAGCAGGTACATGTGTGCTCACACAGAGGTCAGAGGACAATGCTCTGAGGGTGGTTCTCTCCTTCCATCTTCCGGTGCACTACAGGGACTGCACTGAGGTTGCCAGACAAGAGCAGCAAGCATTTCACTTGCCGAGACAAGCACTAGCACAGTTTTAAACTTTTAAGTAAAAAACGTACAGTTTCTGTCCATGGATTGAACGTAAATAAATCAGCATTCCTCCATCATTTTTTTAGACTGTGTCATTCTATGTTTCCACCAACAGGAGATGAATAATCAATTTCCCCTTTGCTTTCTCTCATCATTGCTCTTTTATTCTTTTTTAAAGCTCACAGTGGTTTTAATTTGTATCTCCCCTCCTGGCTTGCAGTGGACTTCCATGGCCCTGCCATGTGCTCATGTAACCTGCTCGCCTTCCAATGAGGCGGAGACTCTTCAGGGTTGCATCAGTTCTTGGTTAACCCTGTGGGTTTCTTCCGGTCTGTAGCTTGTTTTACCCCCTTCTTATTTGCCCTACTTTAGCATATTTTGTTTTCATCGTTTTTTATTAATATATGTTTTACATTCCAATCCCAGTACCCCTCCCTCCTCTCCTCCCGCTCCCCCACCCCCAATGTAAGCGGAACCTAAGAGCCTTGGGAATCTTAGGTGGTGATGCAGGGTCAAGAGGCTAAGGCCCGATTCTCTCCTTCAACCAGCGCAGCACTGTTTTTATACACTGTAAGATTTGGTGTAAAACATTTTTAAATTACTATTCAAAGTAAGTAACAAAAATAACAAAAGTTGGCACTGGCCTTTATGCTTGCTTCTAATTTTCCACAGTCAAACTTGGAAAAACTCACGTGAACATGGTTTCTGGCATCTGAGGCTGTGTGTAGCCAGAGGTCAGTGGCTGATTGTGAAGACTGATTACATGCTATGAGTCCCTGCCATCTGCTCCCTGACTTACATCTCCCACAAAAATCAAATCTCAGAGTTACAGCACTAACCTAGCATGTCTGAGACTCAGGTGCAATCCCCAGCAATCCCCCCCCCAGCATACACATACACAGGGTGGAGGGATAAAACAACTTTTAAGTGGCAAGCCTGTTTGCCTGTTTCCTATAACATCTCGAAAGGTTCCCCTGACAAACTAAGCAGTTCAAATATTATTTATGTTACATTCTGATACCTTAATGGTCAACTTTATAGCCATTCCTAGAGGACTATTTGTTGTCATTTTCCAGAAAAATGTGTACAGTGATTATGAATACTTAATGCCTAGTTAACTACTTATTAGACTACTAAATGTTAGAAATAAACTTTTAAAAGAAAATGCATTTATCAACCACTGGTGATTTAGAAATTTGGTTATAGTGACATCTTGTGGTCATGAGGAGCTTTGCTGATGTAGCCAACATGCTCAAGCAGGAAACAATCTTTAAAAGGTTACTTTTCCAAGCCATTCTCTATTAAGGATGGACTGACTACAGGCAGTCATGACAGCTCTTCCGGTGTTCCAGCAGTATATACTCATGGCATCTAAAGGATACACAAGGAATAATGACTGCCCTTTGAAGAAAGAACTTACTGAGGAGGCAGGTACCTACTGTCCTTGGGGACAGAAATTAGCTATCATTTGTTTTAGTTTACCTCCAATTTCTCATCACTGCTGTTTCTACAAAGACAGACTCAGTGAAGCTGTCTGCTACTGATTCAATTGCTAAGGAGCACATACATGAACAGGAGCAGAGTAAGTGCTAACCACCACACAGAGACAATGGGGAAGCTCGTATGTAAGGAAGCAGGGGCCCAATTTGGTCCCAGGCATACGATGACGTAGATGAAGGACAATGAGAATGTCGCCATCTTCTTCCTTCAGTTTTTCACCTACCTCTGGAGCAGGTCAAACATCTCAAGTCATAGAAATTGTACAAATTTGCAATTCTATCAAGATGCATGGTTTGCCAATTATTATTTTTAAAGAAAAAAATGAAGTTTTACAGGAAGAAAATGCTGCTCGACATTTCTCTCTAAGTTGTTCTCATTATTCATAACTTCGTATTTGTAAGTTTCCTCCGTCATTAGAACTTGAGTTGCCTGAGACACACATTGCCAGCTGTGGCCACAGAAAGCAATGTTCTATTTCTTCTCTATTTGGTGTGATAGTTTTTGCACTTGTATTTTTTTGTTAAGTGCCTTCACTCTTTAGGTACCTCTTAACTCTGGTACTGGAATAATGTGTAATATTTCTGAGCATAGGCAGGCTGTGCAACATGCTCTGAGAGACAATGTGTATTAGGTAAGCTTAGTTCACATATGAGTTATAAGTTATAACGTTGGGAACCAAGTGCTCAGTGTTAAAGCTCATATATATGCATATATGTATATATTACATATATGTATATATATAAAGATCTTTACAGAAATCTGTAACACAAATTAATAAATGATCCAGAGACTGATATTGGGATTCAAACTTTAAGCTGAATATGGAAAAACAAAGGAGTTGATCACTAGCTGTTACTCTACCTCAAGCTGAATGGGCTGATTCTGTCTCCTCAGACAGTAACCTCTCCTCATCGTGGTCAGAGAATGAATGTCTTCTACTGAAAGATACTGAGCCTTCCTAGCTTCAGTGTGGCTGGAGAACAAATGCCTTACACTGACTTTTTGTCTAGTGCTGGGATTAAAGGCATGAGATCCTATTACTCTTTTAGACTGATTCAATCTCATGTATCCTTGGGCGGCTTCAACTCACAGAGATCCATCTACCTCCTAATCCTGAGTCCTAGGATTAAAGGCGTGTACCACCACCTCCTAGCTTCTGATTACTGGGATTAAAGGTGTGTGTCTGGCTTCTATGACTTGTGGCTGACTTTGCTTTCTGAATCCTCAGGCAAGCTTTAATAAATCATAAATAATGTATCACTACAGAAATCCATACAAACAAGATTAGATACTGAGTGGTTGATAGAAATGATGTGACATCATTTCCCCCTGAAATGCTGTGCAGTAATCCAGTTGTGACTACGGAACCAAACTCCCAGGAAGAAAAGAGGTGATTGTGTTTATGAAGCATCTGCTTGAAAGTGTCACGCACAAGCTACTTCTGATGGGAGGGTTCACCTACTACATGAGGAGCTTGGGCATGCAAACCTTTAGATTCATATTCTACACACAGATTTCAGAATAAGGTTCTTCTAAAACTCCACTGAAGAGTTTATTACAGAAGGAAGATCAATAGGCTTAACAAATATGAGAAATTATAAGGCTGTGCTCTTAGATAAATTCAATCATTTGAAATCCTTCTTTCTTTTGCTCCAGCTCCGTGGCAAAATCTAGCAGCTCAAAGGCCAAGACCCTAGATGAAAGGTTTTCTTGTTGTTTCTTTTCGTTTTCTTAACTAGTGCTTACAACCGCAAACATCCATACAAACACTTTTTACATTTCCTTAACATGGGTACTCAGAACTCTTGTTTGTTTTGTAAGTTCACGTCTGGTGAAGAAAGGTGGATGGCCAGGATGTTCATGTCAAGTGATACATAAATGGCAAAGTAATGATAAAAATGGTAAAAGAGGGCAGAGTAAAGGCTTAATGGGTGAACGGGTGACTACACAGAGGGCTCAAGGAAGGCCTTGTTAAGCACAGAAATGACAAAAGACCCAAAGGAGTGGAGCGCGCAGAGCTGGGAAAGACTATACAGGCAGAGAAGAGAGTGCCAAAGGGACCCGAGTGAAAACGTGCTTAGTCCAGTCACGGAGACAGCAGCAGGCCTTAGAGGACTGACTGCTCAGAGGATGGACGGGAATAATGTTAGAGGCTCAGGAGCCACAGACCCAAGTCCTGGAGGGATATGCACAACTCTGCCTTTTATTCTGCAGCTTTGGAAAAGATAACTTAGCCTAGTCTGTGCAGGAACTGTGTATGAGCAAGACAGTTTAGAGAGAACAACAGCTCAAAAAGGAACAGAGTGAAAAGCTGCCAGACTGCAGGAATAACTGCTTTCTGATTTTTAAATTAGGCATACGTACGCAGGGCATGGGGACCGAGAAGAGAGCGTGTAACTTAGAAACAGAGACGGCTTCAATGAAGAGCATCCGAGAAGACACAGATACTGTCAGTTACGATGGGGGAAAACTGAGAAGGACAGGCTGGTTTAGGTAGGGAAAATTCAGGAGCAGGATGTCTCTAATTGGGCTGATTTACTAAAGATGACTACTGGGTACCCAAGAGGACATGCTAAGCAGCAACTGGACACATGAGTGTAGCATACACATCAAAACTAGAGACAGATATTTGGAAGGATTTGCACACACATAGTTCGTAGAGCCCTGGGACAGAAATCAGTCATTTAATGAATGAGGAAAGGTTTTGGGTTGAGCAGTAGGACACACCCACTTTTTAGTGAGAGGAAAATAGGGTTGTGACAGAAAAATGTCTCAGTAAACAAAGTCAACCCAAAATGCCTACAAACCTAACTCTTGTATGATGAAAACAGGTTTATCATTTTAGAAAGAGCACACAGAAAGCAAATACTTAATTCAACAGTAAAAGGCAACCTGCTGTGGACAATCCTTTATCCTGTGAATATGAATTGTTTTCCTTGGTTTAATAAAGAAGCTGACTGGCCAATAGCTGAACAGGATAAGGTTAGGCAGGAGCCAGACTAGGAGAATGCTGGTAGGAAGAAGGGGAGAGTTTGGAGATGAACATGCCATGCTAATAAAGGTACTAACACACGGCAAAGCATAAATAAGGAATATGGGTTAACTTAAAAATGTAAGAGCTAGTTAGCAATAAGCCTGAGCTATTGACTGAACATTTATAATTAATATTAAGCCTCGGAGTTATTATTTGAGGGCAGCTGCAGGACAGGAAATCTCTGCCTAAAGTAACCTACTAATACTATCTTTCTAGGGAAGGATTTTTACAAAATAGGCAGGACTGTTGTTAAAAACTCTATTTTCAAAGACATGTCACATAAAAAGAGATGTGTAAGAAGGGAAACCCAATTTACAGTTCAAGTCAAGACACTATTAGAGTGGAAATAAGGGCTACTGGTGATTTTCTGTTTGGTAATAGTGTTAAATGGGGCTGTCCTGGAAGAATGGGTACTTGGGGCTTTTCTTTCAATAAGCCAAGTTCAGTTTAGCACCAGATGAGGACTGCCAGAAGGAACACAACACAGAATCCTCATATACCCATAAGGAGCCCTTCAACACAGTTCTGTCAAGCTTCACAAGTTCCTCTTCTGGAGTGTACACTACGGCTGCTAATGATGGGTCAAAGACAATACTTACTCAGCTGATGGTACACTGGTTTATGCAGACCTTGAAGCCGCTTGGACGCTATAGCTGCGAGTTTGCCAGGGGGCTGCATCTTGCCATCTAAGAGATACCACATTCGAGCAAAAGTGGCCCATTGCTTGGAAAAAAAAAATGATGAAGAAAATCGTAGTTAGAACGGGAATAATTAAATACACTATCACATGCTACCGTA